ATTATTATTATTATTATTATTATTATTATTATTATTATTATTATTATCAAAACAGTGCTGGTATGATGATTTTTTTTGGGGGGGGGGGACAATGTTTTTGAAGGAAACATCAACTTATGTTTTGGGAGGAGTTTCATTTTAAATCAAGGTAAATATTTAAAGAAAAATATTAAAGCTGCAAAAACCACAGGTCAAAGTTTCGTCTTGCAGACTTCAGCACAAACAGCTGGTCACAAGACGTGTTTTAATGCGTTCCTGATGAAAACTGTTGGTCGTGAGGCAGATCCGTGGATGTTGTCGTGAACCTGCCCAGCAGGCTGAAGCCTGACACATGTCACATGTAACATTTCATGTCCTCTGAAGCTGCTGTCCTGCCCGGCCTGCGCTGACCTCCCTGACCTCTGGCTGTTATTGGATTTTCAGTCCAAAGAGACAAAAAGCAGCGCATGACATTTAGATGAAATTCCATCAGATCTATACACATTAACGCCGTGGAAAAGCAGGAAGAAATTGATTTCTTCTGCCCTGCGTTTACTGTCGGCGCTCGTGACGATGCTGTGTATGAAGCGACATGTCACAACATGTTTATTATAACACGTCTGTCTCCTCCTCCTTCCAGGCCTTTGCTCTTCCAGGGCAGTATGCTTTGGCACATCAAGATGTAAGTATGCTCCTCCGAGTGACTGACACCCGTCCTGATCTTCTCCTGCCCACACTTTCCGAGCCTCCACACGGCTCTTTCTGTGCCCCGCTCTTCAGAGATGAAACTTCAGTAACCCCGATCTGTCGACTAACACTAACCCTCAGTAGCGGCATGCGCTGCAACGAGACGGGACGGAGTCTGTAGCGGGTTGCAGCTCATGGATGTGACTGTATGTTCTGATGTGTAGAAGTGCATGGAATCTGTTCGCTCTGACACGATCTGTGATGTTTGTGAACGAGCGGCTCTGTTTTGTAGCCGTCAGCTCCTCGGAAATAATCCACTTTGATTGTTTAGCTCTAACTTCCTTCCTACCCTGCAGTTGACCAAGCTTCACCAGTTGGCTATGCAGCATATCCCCTTCCCTTCCCTTGGGCAGAGCAACCCTACCTTTCCTGGTACGTACCCACGGCCCCCCGAGGATGTCCATCTGTCCCTCTGTCTTCACTCCTCTTTAAACCACACCATCAACACAAATCATTCTTCAACACGTTGCAGACGCTCAGAGGGTTTTACCGACATTTGTAGCGCGGGGTTCTGTGGAAAGAGCGGCGGTTCAACTTTGTTAATCTGTGCTGCCACTTTAGGAGCAACTTTCTGCATGCGCCGTGGTGTTTGTCCCTGCAGAGCTACCGTAGCTGCCTGTAGTCAATGCTGTCTTTAATAATAATAAAAAAATTGGTTTGAGTTTAAACCCTCAGTGACAACAAAGCTAATAGCGTTAGCTTTCCTTTGGAGTTTTCGCTGTAAAGTTAGCATCTATGCTAATTCTGTGATTTCCAGGGCATGTTATCGTGCATTCGTCATTAGGTCATCAAACATATTAATCTGTATTTATTTATATAATAAATGTTATTTAAGTTTCAAACGAACTGACCTCAGTTTTCTGACTCACAACTAAAGAGTCTTATGTTTAGTGGAAATGCTGTGAACTAGAAATATCTTACCTGTGGTGGATAACTCTTTGAGTAGCTGCAGTTTGGAGAAATCTTTAATTGTGAAGGACTGATGAGCTGAAGGCTAGTCGGAGCGTCACGACAGAGAGAAGAGGACCTCGTCGTTCAGAAACTTTCCACAGAACTCCACTTCAAAGTGTCCAAAATGTTCCTTTAATTGATCGGCTTCAGTCGGATCCAAACAAAAACAACAACAATGTTAATTTAAAAGACTACCAAACAAAAACAACAATCATAGTAGTCAGCCGTTACAGTACTTTTTATAAAAACGCAGAAATGTACAGAATAAAATAAAGAGTCTCAGTTTTATCTCAGAAGAAAATACGCAAAAACGTTTAGTAAATATTGAACTTTATTTTTTTGTTTCCTCCCAAATTTCATCTCCGTCTGCCCAGAGACCCCCTCCTAACAAAACAAGTCCTAATCTCTCGACCCCATCCTTTCCCTCTGCAACATTTCTCCTCCAAACCCAACGTCGTCTCGGCCAAACCGTCCCCGACCCGAACGTTCCCGCACTCACACAAACTAACCAAACACCGCCAGCGCTAACGAGACGAAACGTTACGGCCTTTTGATCATTCAGGACGCAGTTAGAGCCGATCGCAGATATTTGCATCAAAATGAATCAAGTGCATGAAATGTTTTATGTAATGTGTGTGTGTGTGTAGCACAACTCGTCTTGCCATAAAAGTGGAAATCATTAGTAAAATACTGTCATTAGTGTTTCTTGTTCTAATCTGCAGGATTGGATGTGTCCACCCCCACAAGTACACAAGAGCTGGCGATACCTAATGATGTAAGTGGCGCACGGTTTGTGCTCCCCCGCTCAAACTCGTGTCCTCATGCAACTAATGGCATTAAAACTATCCAGGAGGACAACGATAACGAGGATTTTGGGGACACACACATTTATTGTTAGCAGCAGAAAGTAATTTATTCCTGCACAAACTGACACCAATTATTAACTGGACGGAGACATAAACAAAACAAAGTACAAACTAAACACTGAGCTGGAAGACTTTTAAAAACTGTTGTAACTTTACACTCTGAACAACAACCTGAGCATCTCTCCTGACTTCAGTAAATTAAACTAAAGGTCTAACATCCTGATGCTGATCAATTATCCAGGAAGAAAAATCTAACCAGGTTAAGTCTGGTACTCTGGATGGATTAAAAAAATAAAATAAGAACTTGTTGAAACGTTTCGTCTTTTATCCAAAGGACTTCTTCAGTCTGAGGAGCTGCAACAAACTCAGTCTTATAAACAGCACCTTCTCATGTTGGATCAACCAGTTTGTTGTTGACATCCAGAACTATCTGTTCACATGATCAAGGACCATCAGCCTAACGACTGATCGTTAGTGCCGTGATGGCCGCTTGCTATTTACAGAGGGTTGAGCGATGCTAGCAATAACAGCATTGTAAGAGGGGGACTGCCGGAAAGTGATTTGATAGTTTTCCAGAATCTTTTAGGGTCATTTAGATCTTTGGAGGTCTGAGATAAGTACTTACATGTTGCAGCTTTAATGGAAGCTGTACAATAATTCCACAGCTGTTGAAACTGCAACAATCATTACAGGTATATTATATATACCAATAATTATATTATATAGACACCAATCATTATATTATATAGACCAATCATTATATTATATATACCAATAATTATATTATATAGACACCAATCATT